TTTTTATGTGATGGAGAATATGTGGTTGAAAAAGAAGGAAAAAATTATTGATGTGATGAAAAATATTATTTTATTGAACAACGTGTGGTTGAAAATGAGAATGAAAAAAATAATGTGGCTCAAACAGTGGCCTGGTATGATCAGTTACAGATCCCGGATCTATAGTGATATTGAAAATTTAAATAAATATTAACTACAGAGCCAGTAAATTCTTTCAATAAATTTACTTGTGCGCTAGTTCTCAATGTGTTTAAATGGTTAGACCTTCACTAGCTAAAAAGTGACTGAATTCCTCGTATTTCAAAAAAATTAATTAGGGGATATAGAAGGCCCCGTCCCTCTTCATGTTTACCATGAAAATATTATTTGCATCTAATAAATACATTACTAGAAGAATTCGTTTTATTACATATATTCGCAAATTGAAGTTTGCAAGAGTACTTATTCAAATTTTATATCATGCCCTTACTGGTAGGGATTAAAATAAGACTTTTAATAAATTTTGATAGAAGTTGATTACATCGTATTTGAAAAGTCGTGATTCCATAAAATATGTAGTTAAAATTAATTGTTGACTTTGACTTAGATTAAAATCTAAATTTTAATCCATACCAAATAAGGGCTATGAGCATAATTTTTATATTATACAATTAAAACGATTTGTCATGTTAATACTAGTGAACCTAAATTTTAAAATTTTAATAAATGTTAATTAAGATGATGATAAATAATTTAACACTATTATTTGTTCAACTCCTATAATTAAGTTTCTAAATAATTACAATTGAAACAAAATGTTCACTACAACAAAAACAATCTTTTGCAACATTCAAAAAATGTTGCGAAGAATTTTTGTATCGTTCGAACATATGTTACAAACTTCAATGTGAAACTTTTCATAACAGTGTATATATATTAAGAATTTCAACAACAAACATTAAACATTGCTATAGAACCAAATTTTAATAACATTCAATAAACGTTACAAAAAATAAAACTTTTCACAACAGTCAATAAATGTTGCAAAAGATGACTTATCAATATTCATTTATTAAAATATTACGATAGACCTCTTTAACAACATTTAACTAATGAATGTTACCTTTTCCATGTTGCAAAATGACATTTTTGTTATAGTGGCTTCTCAATTTTGTCAAGTGAATACTATTTTGTATGCAACAACACTTTTATATGTATCATGTCAAAATCAAAGTTCTCATGTGATAGTTGACTTATGGTCAAAGCTTAATATTCATATCTAATGATTTTCTAAAGTGAAATATATATATATATATATATATATATAGTGTGTGTTTGGGACACATTCTCTTGAAATAATGTATTATTGAATAGTTGATTGATGGAGAATGTGTGGTTAAAAATGAAGGAAAAGTTATTGATTTGATGGAAAATATTATTTTATTGAAGAATGTGTGGTTGAAAATGAGTAAAAGAATGAGAATGAAAAAAATAATGT